CGAAGTGGTGAAAAGCGTTGCTGAGGATTTTGTAGGGGAGAGTGTTAGGCTCCGTGCAGTGACGAAGCGAGAAAGCTCGGTGAAATAACCATTATCGAGCAAGCGTCAGCATAAGAGACAATCGAGACTACCTCTGGTGGTTGAGGGAGCTTAGAAATGTAAAAGTTGAACAGTAGTGGGGAAAGGGCACCACCCTGTTGAACTCGCTGCTTCATTTTCCTAGGTTTGATCGATTTGTCTCCAAAGATCACTGACGACCACTCAGGTATTTCGCAGTCCACCGTTTGTTTTCTAGTAGCGTTACTTGAATAGTTCTCTCACATGGGGGGTTTCGGTTAAGGCCACGAATTATTTGGGAGTTTATGGCGTCAAGTGCTGTTGTTGTGCTGTGCACTTTACGGAACCCATGCTTATGCTTCGCTGGGGTCCAGTGATTTGTGTAGTGCGGAAGTTGGAGGGCCTCTAGTGTCTTCGCTACCGGGGAAAGGTGAGCTATCGGGGAGAAGACTCTCCTTTGTTAGACGGTTTCCCCGGTGGACAATCACCTCACGGTTGACCAAGGCTTGCTCACACCAGAGGCGAAGTGACAGGTCTTCAGATGGTCTTCCCACTTCTTCCGCTTATGTACGTTCACTAGTTGCCGAATCTCCGAGTTGAGATCCCTGATACGGGGATTTACGGGGTCGGCCTGGCGAAGGGATTAACCTTGTCATTTGTCATTAAATTTGTCGTTACAGTTTTGAATTTGGAAGGAATTGGTTTTAAATTTTGTTCACTCTACAAAGACTCAAAATTGTTCACTCTATAGAGTACTCAATGGAAAAATTTTCATGTTCACTCTTTCGAGGTGTTCGTAGCATCGGGTGTTCACTCCAGCCAGATAACACTGTATATTTATACTTAATATAATTTACTTAAATGTGACAGCGTACAATGTCTTTTATGCTACATCAGTTTAAATTAACTATTCAATTACCACATTTACTACTTAATTATGTATTTATGTATGTATGTACTTCTTCTAGGCATTTTTTTATAGTAACTGCAATTCGTACAATTATTCCCCCTTCGTTTTAGCTGAAAGTCTTCATTCAATTTATGCAATTTTCGTTAATACCAATCATTACCAATCGTTTTCACTTATCACTACATACACATATAGATTTTACATAATTTTTTTTTTAAATATTTTCGATGATGTTTGATATTAGGTATATCGGTTAATTTTCATTTGATTACAACTTTTTTTTGCGTGCTGTGAATTGCAGTGGTGAGTTTCTGTGCTCGTTTTGTATTTGTTTTACTACTTACTAAAACGCTACTTACTACAAAATTATTTATAACTTTATTACCGCTATATGTACAGCATTATACTTCGCTAGAATTTGAACTAAACTCTAACAGGGAATTGAATAATAAATATGTTATACTACGTATTTATCTATATGTATAAGCTAGTTACAGTACGCTAACACTTA